TATTACGCTTTAACATTTTATGAGTAATTTTTTAATCTAATAACGATAAACAGAAAACGAGATGCTTACCGTTACAATAAAATTCAACGTAATCGACGGAAACGTCAAAGAGTATTATTCAAAAATATTACTAAAATCCTCAATTTGTGCAAAAATCTTTTGAGGGTAAAAATTTTGGAAAGTGTAAAAGATTTTATTTCTGATTACTCAGCTGAAGTAACACATCTTAAAACGAAAGAACTAGAGTATAATCAAGTTATGCTAAAAATTTTAGGTAAAAATGAATCACTACATAAAGAGGTTGATATGTTAAGAGAAATAATACAAGATTGTGGTATGCTTTATATTTTTAATCTTTGTGCAAATGGTAATTTTTAAAATTTTTTTTAATATATTCGCATCGTAAAACTATTTAGAAAGTTACTATCAATTCAATAAAATTTTTGAAACATTTAATGATTAAAAAAGTTTATGTACTCTTTATTGAATAAATACGCTTTTTCAAGCCTATTTCTTAAAGCTAATAGTAATATTGGTCAACGTTTAGACACCAAATTTTTACAGTTGCAATAGTCTATAATGTATTTTCATATATTAAACATATTATGAAAAAGGAATTCTGATCACACCTCTGAATAATTTTAAAGATTTCATTTTAAAGAAACATGAACTTAGCAAACAAAAAGTTTTCTTTGAGCCATCTTTCTATATAACTCACCTATTTATAATTGTTAACTAGGGTTTTTTGATAGTTACGCTAGAGAAAACACAAGAGAGAAATTCAAACGTAAAATTTTGAATACAAGAAATAAATAATTTTAAATACAAGAAACAAATAAATATTATGGTATTTATATATTAAGAAATATTTTTAAACTAAAAAAATAAATTTAAACAAATTTACATTATAGCAGGCTCATTAATATAACTTAAAAAATAAACTTTTTACTCTCAATTTCAATCTGTTTTCCAGTTTTATCAAAATAAATGCTCCTAGAAAACACTTGATATGGGTGTACAATTTCTAAGAGTACAAAAAAGTTTTAAAATCAAGATTATTAAAAAAGTAACGCAAATTATCTAAAATTAACTCATTTTCATAATTTGGATTTAATATTATCCAAATCTTGACCTCTTTAATATATTTAGGTAAAGATTTAGCCAGATTTTTTAAATAATGACTCAATTTCATATTCATTAAATTAATTTCAAAATAATTCTGATAAAGTATCAAACATTGTAAATTCGGAACCCAGGGAATTTCTAAGTAATTTAAACAACTTGAAAATCTGATAATTGAAAAATCTATAATGCTATGACATCTTTCATATATTGTTTTGAAAATTTGTTCGAGTGAATCTCTATAATATGGACCTATTATATTAAAGATTTTTAAACTTGAACTGCAAATATTGAGAAGTGCAAGAGTGAGTGCTTTTGAGTTATGAATTATTAGTTGTTAAAGAAGAATTTGATAAATTATTAAATCAAATTGTTTATCTTCACTTTCATCAAAGTTACAATCGCGTATAATTAAACTTGAAAGAAATGGAAATTTGATTAAATAATTAATAAAAGTAATTTGATGAAAATTAATTAGATCAAATTCTAGATGCGATATAGAACGTGCTTGATGTTGAAGGGAGTTTAAAATATATATATTAAATATATTTTTAATTGAAAAAGATTTTAGCCTATTTTGTGTTTTGATCAATATTGTAAGATTATTATATAAATTTGAATAAATATATGATGAATCTACAAATTTTATATGTTGAATTTTTGTAGATTTATTAACTAACGGTTGAAGAAAAAATTTAAAAATCATATCTATTATATTTTTTTTCATAATATTTTGTGACTTTTTATAAAAATTTGCCAAAATTTAATTACAGCATCGATAAAGTTGTCAATATCAAGATATTTTAAATATGAAGAGTATGATAATAAAGATGCAAGTAGTAAAATTTTAAAATTTTTTTCAATGACTTTTTTAGCTTCAAAAGACATTTCTTGAATGTAGAATTTAATAACAAGATATGTCTTTGAAAGCTTATTTAAAAAAGGGGCATGCCATAAAATCGGAGATGCTTTACGAAACTATTCAGAATTTACTTGACTACAAGAATTAAGTGTTTTATGATTGTATTCTAGATTTTTAAATATTTCTTTTAATACAAGTGAGGGTAACATTTGGATCTAAAATATCTATAAACAATTAGAATATTTCTTAAATTACACTATGTGTATATATACATATATATATTGATCATCATAGTTGTACCGATATTACTATAGTTGTACATAGTACCGTAGTACGTACGCATTGTTGATTTAACTCTGACGTTGGTAATGCATATGTATGTGATCGCAATTGTTTTGATCTCAATAAATAGGTAAATGATCGTAATAATAGTTAA